ACATGGTTTGGTGGCCATGGTGGGGTTGGGTTGATGTTGGACCTGATGATCTTAGAGGTCTCCTCCAACCTTAATGGTTCTGTGATGCTGTAGGTGCGATGCTCTCTGCATTATAATTGGGCATCTGCCGTGGTAACGTAGCGGGAATTTATTTTCAGGTCAAATCCTCATCATCTGCATAACTTACACGTGAATATTACCAGCGGGATGGGAGAAGAAAAGGCAGCTGAACACCCCAGGTGTTCGGCCATCATCAGGAGCTCGCTTTTCCCTACCACACAGATTATTTTCCTCTGGTTTGCTCGCTCCAGCCTGACAGAGCTCTCCCATGCAGCCAGAAACTGAAATACCACGCTCTTGTCAGAAAGCTTTATTATTATGGTAAAGATTGTACTCATTAGGTATTAATTATACCCAGCAAGAGCAGGTCCAGGAATCTATTTGTCTCTGCTCACCGATTAAATCTGCCCAGATTTTCGGAGAAGGGTTGCAAGCTGCAGCATTAGATTTGTGGAGCCTGCGGCCATTTATTACCATCAAGGGGGCTGCTGGGGTGGAGAGAGGTGCAAAGGCTGGGAATTGGTACGAGGGGTGGGTCTGGTTGGTCATGGCTGCCTTGGAGCAGCCCGTTTTGGGGCTGGTCTCACCTCATTTGAGATACCTGGTGCCCCACGAGTTGTCTTTGTGATCAGAGATGACAACTCCGCTCATCCCCTTTCCTCATCTGCTCAACTGAGGGTGCTGATCTCTTGCCACTGCCCATGGAGGCAGCTGAGGCTCTTGGGCAGCCAACATTTGGGGTGATGAATCACAGAATCATTTATGTTGGAAAGGACCTTTAAGATGATCGAGTCCAACCACTGACCAAACACTGCCAACTCCACCACTGAACCATGTCCTGAAGTGCGATGCCTACCTGGTTTTTAAATCCCTCCAGGGATGGGGACTCCACCACTGCCCCTTCCACTGCCTGATAACCCTTTCCATTAATAAATTTTTCCACATATCCAATCCAACCCTCGCCTGGCACAACTTGAGGCCGTTTCCTGTCGTCCCATCGCTTGTTACCTGGGAGAAGAGACCAACTCCTACCTTGCCACCAACGTAAAATAATTACGACTGCTCCAGCCTCAGAAAGCCCAGCCGCTGTCATGTCTACACATGTGCAACTTGGCTGTGGTCTACACAGATGTCAAAATGCAAAAAACCCACAGTAATTACATCCCGCAGCTAAACGGCCCTCCCAGCTCAACACATCTCCTCCTTGGCTGCTTGACCATCTGTTTTCCAGCTCCTTCTGCTCCAACTGTGGTGACCTACGGTGTGGTTGGAAACATCCCGCTACTAATTTAAGCGTTTGTCCAGCGAGCGGATGGATCCAACGCGCTGTGGATACAGGATGCGATCCACAACCCACCAAAATCAGCAGTTTTATTTTCTTCCTCCATCCTCCCTTCCTCCCTCATTTCTTTCCAAAGGGATAGAGATCATGCCCTGGCTTCTTTGCTACCTTGTTTTTTTGGGGAAAAAAGAGATACGCAGCACCATGGGTCATGACGCGGCCCCTCCAACCACCACCACCCGCCCCCTATGGTAGAAGTAACCAAGGCACACCTGGTAAAGCGGACATCACAGATATTGCACGTATAGGGCTTCTCTCCCGTGTGGGTCCTCATGTGCCTGGGCAGCTTGCCGGCCCCCATGATGACTTTGTTACAGACTGGACACTGCTGGGACGTCTTGGGTTTTATCTTCCTCTCTTCCTCCAGGGGCCACGGGGGAAAAGCTCCTGCGAACTGGGTAGCGCTTAGGAAGTTGAGATAAGCGCTGTACTCAGCCTCTGCCTTAATGTGCCCTAAGGGAGATCCTGCAGCGTTGGTTAACATCTTGAAGAAGTCGTTAGGGAAAAGAGGTGGAGGCAGGTCCTCCTTCTCCTCCTCTTCCTTGATCTTCCTCTTTTTGACCACCAGATTCAAGGGGACGTTGTCTACTTGGGGCTCCTCAAGCTGGGAGAAGGAGCTAAAATCGCTGTTCCACAGATGGGGGCAGAAAGGAGAGAGAGCTGGCCTCTCTTCTGGAATGTTCGCCCTGGGGTACAGGTTTTCCCTTAGCAAGGAGTCGATGGAGAAGTCTCGTATCACATCCAAGTGTCCAGAGGGGTTATTGACTGGGTGGCGATCTGGAAATTCTCTAGGTGCTGCTTCTTCGGCATGATCAGAATTAGAAGGGCTTTGGTGACAGCTTACCTCTTGGACATCGGCTAGGTTCTCCTGATTGACAGAATCTTCCTCTTCTTCCCCCTCCTCCTCGTCTTCATCTTTGTTGTCGTCTTTGTCCTCTTTCTCATCTTCCTCGTCCGCCTCTCTGTCGGGCTCCATGATTTCAAGGCATACGTTGATAATGCACTGGATCTCCAGCATCCTGGCAGCGCTGAGGATGTGCTTGACGTTTGAGGTGGTGATGGTGAGGGTTGAGGTGTAGGCAAAATCCAGGATGGCAGAAAGTGCTTCAGGCTTGACAAAGTCAATCTCGTAAACATTGGGCTGGTCTGTTAAAGTGCCAGTAGTGAAGAGTTTTTTGAAGTACTTGCTGCAGGCAGCAAGGACGGACCGATGGGTCCGGTACTCCTGGTCCCCTACAATGAGGATGACATCGCAGAGGAGACCGTCATGCCGCTGCTCATTTAAACCACACAGGACTTCACTGCTGTGGTTCGGGAATGGGATCCCGATAAGATCTTCAACGCCATTGGCCATATTCTCATTTAGTGCCCTAGGAGAAAACACAGAGCGTAGGGAATTAGCAGGGGGTTCCCAACCAGTAGTACCAAAATGTCCCTGCCTTCTTTCAATGTCTTCATCTCCCCAACGCCAAATTGGACCCCTGTCATCACCTCCTGCTTGCACTGCCCCACCGCATCTCCATGTCCCCTTCAACTCCTTCCAGGTCCTCTGAGATTTCACCTCTGCTTTCCTCCACATCACTTTGTCTCTTATTTTTGTCTCCATCCTTCTCTTCTCGGTTCCCACGCCATTCACCTTTTCACAACCACCACAAGTTCCCTCTTCTCTTTCACATCCCTCCCCCAGGAACCTTGTGCAACGACTCCCTCCCTCCCCATCACATTTCTTCCGCATCCTCCCAGAGCCAACATCTTTCCAGGCACACGTTGGATTTGCCCTGCCAGGAGCTATGTAGGGCAGGGATGATGCTGCATTGCTTCACACCGCCGTGTGCCAGCACCTACACCGCTTAAACAAGACGAGCCAGAGAGCGCCTATCTCATCTACGCAATTGTTTTGGGTACCGGCACAACCAGACGTCCCAAATAGAGGGACTGCTGGTCACGGCTGTGGCTGTCTGCTGTCCTCACCCAGCTTGCTCCGATCCCAATCCTGTTTGGGCTTGTATCAAATGCCCTGCACATCTGGGAGACACCTTCCCCTGCCAGAACAGCTCCACCTTCAAAGGGCGATTCGGAAGCAAAAAGCCCACACCCAAAAGGAAAACCTGATTATTTTCTTTTTTGCTATGTTTTTTTTTTTATTTTAATCTGTAAGATGTTTCCTCTTTCGCATGGCTCCAGCAGCCCTTCCACATGAGAAATCCCAGGAAAGGAGAGGGACTTCCGACGCATACATTAATCTCATCACACACAGGATGCACCAAGCAGCCCGCACGCCTTTGAATACACTAACTCTTTGGAAACCCCCAGGACATGGAGCTTTGTCACCTCTACGAGCTTCAGCTCCTGGCCCGGCTGCAGGTAGACAGCTCACAGCCAAGTGCTTGATCTCCAAGATATATAGATATATAAACACATATACATATACATAGATACATATATATAAGCATGTGTGTGTATATATATACACACACACACA